GTTTTGGAAGCTTGCCTCACAAGCATCATTTCATATAAATGGTACCCCTTTTCTCGTTAGCTGTGTCAAAGGCGAGGCTATTCTAGCGAAGTGCTACACGAACCTTCGATAGTATCTCACTAGTCTCAAGAAACTCTATACTGATGTTGTCGAAGTTGGGCGTTCCTATTTCATGACCGCTTTGACCTTAGTAGGATCTACGGATACTTCGTCCTTGTCGCCACGTAACCTAGGGAAGAGACTTACCGTAACCAAAATTCACACTTTGAGAACTTGGTATACAACTTGTTCTCTCTTAGGGTGGTTAGGACTTTTTAGAGGTGTTCCTGGAGTTCCAAGTCTATTTTCGAGTACACTCGGATGTCATCAATGAGCACGATCACAAAAGTGTCTAGACAGTTCTTGAACACTCGGTTCATTAACTCTGTTGACACAACTGGAGCATTGGTGAGGCTAAATGACATACCACGAACTTATAGCGATCATACATTTCCTAAATGTTGTCTTTGGTGCGTCTTTTTCTTTACTCTTTATTCTGATATCCTGACCGCAGATCTATCTCAGAAAATATCGTTGCTTCTCTTAGTTGATCGAATTAAGTCTTCTATTCTAGGCAGAGGGTATTTGTTCTTTATGGTTCTCTTATTTAACTCTCTGTAATCGATGCACAAACGCATCAATCCATCTTTCTTCTGAACAAACAACACTGGTGCAACCCAGGGGAATATGCTAGGTCGAATGAACCCTTTATCCTGTAGATCTTGTAATTGTGCCTTGAGTTCTTTCAACTCTGCTAGCGCCATGTGGTAGGGTGCTTTAGAAATAGGCCCAGTTCCCGGCTCGAGTTCGATGATGAAGTCGACCGCTCGGGAAGGGGGTATTCCAAGTAGGTCATCTGGGTACACATCTGAAAACTCGTTTACGATTGACACGTTTTCTAGGGTCTTTTCTTTTCCTCTTACATCTACGGCACATGCTAATATAGTCCAACCGCCTTGTTGGACTAATCTCTTTGCTTTCATCATCGAGACTACCTTTGGGGGTAGCCCCGGTATTTGTGCCTTTAAATTTAAAGCTAGGTCCCACCGATGGTGAGAATATCACCTTTTTTTTTTTTTCCTTTTTGCGACATTCTATAATAGCATGGTTTGCAACTAGTCAATCCATGCCTAGTACTACGTTGAAGTCGGTCATCTTTACTACTATTAGGACTACGCTTAGAGTTTGGTCGCTACTATTGCTTAATCATTCTTTACTCTATCCTTGGTTACTACGTCTACCCTCTTAAGGGCTGCTTTCCGACCATACATACAATAAGGGTTCTAATTCAAACCCTGTCTCTGATCCCTCTCGAGGTGGGCTCTCTTCAGCCTCACCTTGTCCTCTATCTCTAATAGGAGGTCGTCCCCTTCCTCGTCTTACTCTTTCGCATGGTCTAGGCAGCATGGTTCTAGAAACCAAGATAGCATCTCTTAAGTCTAAGGCTCATTACCTATGAAATTATGCTATGCATCACATCTACTAAATTCACATCATATTGCAAACAAAATCACTCAGCATGCAACACATCACATCATGCTCTTAAATAAATACGTGAAATATCACAACAATTTCAGTAACATTAACATAAAAATGCATGCAAGTTTGAAAACGTTTTTTCTTATCTTGTGCAAGGCGTACCTGACGGTGACGGGGCATCGAACGTTGGGACCATGGAACGTGCCAAGCCTACATTGTAGGCTAGTCTACAGAATCTAAAACCTAGAGCTCTGATACCAACTGTAACGACCCTAAATTTCCACATACTCAGAGTCGCTACTAACATTTGATGCTCATCTATAATGCGGAAATAACTCTTATATGAACATAATTGATAACGTAAATTTAAAAAAAAACGTTTAAAACAACTTCTTCTCTAGAAAACACAGCCATGGTCTTACGTGTTTAAATATGAAATACTGAACATTTAGAGAAAACAAAAACAAATACAAAATAATTTAAAACAATGAAATGCAAAACAACCTATTCTAACTTAAGACTAGAAATTTAAATATGAATCTACCCTATGCACGTGCCACAGTCTCTACTCGCGATGCCGCCGTCCTCCATACAAGTGCGCCTTGCCTTTACCTGAAAAATGATGTGGCACACGGCCTGAGTATTTCAAAGAATACTCAGTAAGTGGCCCCACTATAGGGGCCATGCAAATGCAAACACATGCAATCATGATTTAGGGACCTATCTCTAATCATCTTAGGGGTGGCCTCCAGTCTCGGATAAATTGGATGTGTAGTACTTCCCTACACACGACTCACACGTGCGAGTGTGAATCCCCAGGGCGCTCGCACACCCCCTGGACCCTCTGGTCAAGCTAATATGTAGCGACGTCCGGAGGTCAGCGGAACCCCATAGTGTCATGCGCCTCATGAACACCCTCATCTGTGTGCTTTCGCACCTGTGCGCTTTCGCGCTCATCATAAGGTGCGCGTCCGCACTCATCATCTCTAGGGGAAGTAGCCCTATGCTTATGAACATACAAAATGCATGAGGTCCCTCTAAATCCATCGTAATGTCTCTTCTGACACAACCCTCTAGTCTCATCTCTTTGTTACTCTAGGTAACGCATACTCGTGGATATTTATATTAATATCATTCTCATGCTCTTAGGGTTGTGTCCTACGTCGATCTAACGACATGATGCAATATGGCACTCATCATCATCTAGCATGCTCAATATGGAAAACATCATCATATTAAGGTAAAAATCATGCAATCATCATGCTCATCATAATGCCACAACGTGCGTCAAACATATCAAGCGTCACTCAACAAAATATGTATATACCGCACATATCATCAAGCATCATAATCCACACATCATCATAACTCATACAATTATTTAGCCTATCCTATAGTAAGGCCACTTACTTGGTTGGCCTTGGCTGAAGTACTCCCTAAATCGCTAAACGTAAGCTCCCGTTCCGTGAGAGCCGCTCCCTACGTCCTCGGGGTTTGTTTCCTATCACACCGTCCACCACTTTCCGTTAGTATTTCACAATTAATTTACCTATAATTTAATAAATGTGAAATACGGCTCTGAAACGGCCTCGGATACCTTAATCGGGGCCGAAAACAGATTCGGGAGGGTCGGAACAGTGGAAACCGGGCTGAAAACAGGTGAGCCGAGCCGAACAGCCGCTGGAGCCGCCGGAGGAGCCGCCGGAGGGTCGCCGGAGGGAGCCCGAGCCGTTTGCGCCGAGCCGAGCCGAGGGACTGCCTGCGCCGTTGAGTGACACGTGGCAGTAGCAGAGAAAGCCACGTCGGGCGGCAGTGTCGGGTCGAAGCGCGGGTCGCAGCCCGGTTCGGGTCGTGGGCTGTGGAGGGCTACTGGGCCAAGTCTAATCGTTGGGCCTCGGCTTACTGGGCTGGGCCGCAGGAGTTTGGTTTGCAGGTCGGCTCAATTGGACCGTGGGTCTGGTCTGGGTTGGTTCAACTGAACCGTAGCTTCTGAGCCGGTTTGAGGTTTGGGCCGCTGAAGTTGGGCTGGGCCGAAGGTAGAGGCCAAGGGAGGAACGGGCTGGCTCTCCCGGGTTCTGGGTTCGGGTTGACCCGGATCCGTGGATCTCGTCTTCCTTACCCGACTTCGGCCGATTTTCCGGCGAGCTTTCTCTCTCTTTCCCGTGGCGTTTCCTTCGCCGATTTCGGTCCTCTTCCTTCCCTTTTCCTCTTTGTTTGTCGTCCTTCTCTCTTTTCTGGGAGTTTTGCGGCCTAAAAGCTCCTAAAAGCCATGGATCTAAGAATCGATTAAGAACCCTAATCTTTCCGACCTCGGTCACCGACGACGACGCTTAGGAAATAACACAAAACGCACCCCGAGTTATTGTGCTTTCGTTAGGGATCCCTCTTATGGTGGTAACAGGCCGTTTGATGTTACTTTGAGGGTGGTTTGAGGCCTCGTCGGAGAAACTGGACACTCGCCGACGTTTGTCCGAAATCTCTCTCTCTCTCTCCAAATTTTCTCTCTTTTCTCCCTTTGCAGGTCTCTGAAACTTTGCAGGGTGTCGTGGGTTGAGGGTGGGCGTGCTGTGGCCGTGGTTTCGCGTGGGTTCCGCGAAACTCGGCGGTTGCCGGAAAACTCGCGGGTTTTCCGGCGACTGAGTTTTTTTTTTTTTTTTTTTTTTTACTTTATTTGATTTATTTATTTATTTATTTTTATTATATGTATATATATTTTTTCCTTTCTTTCCCGGGTCGTTACAAAACCTAACTTTCCGACCTCGGTTACCGACGACGACGCTTACGAAATAACACCAAATGCCCCTGAGTTATTGTGCTATCTTAGAGATCTCTCTTACGGAAGTAACAGGTTGTTTGGTGTCGGTTTAAGGGTGATTTGAGGGCTCGTCGGAGAAACTGAACACTCGCCGACGTTTGTCCGAAATCTCTTTCTCTCGCTCGAAATTTTTCTCTCTTTTCTCCCTTTGCAGGCGTTCTGAAGATGCTGGGCTAAGGGTGGGCGCGCTGTGGCCATCGTTTCGCGTGGGTTCCGCGAAANTTTTTTTTTTTTTTTTTTTTTTTTTTTTTTTTTTTTTTTTTTTTTTTTTTTTTTTTTTCGTTTTCTCGTTTTCATTTATCATATATATATATATATATATTTTTTTTTTTTCTTTTTTTCTTTCTTTCTTTCCCGGGTCGTTACAGATCACATGCATAAACATGGCATACATAGCATTTCACTGCAAGGATCACATACATAAACATGGCATACATAGCATTTCACTGCAAGAAACACCTAACCTAGCATACATCAACAACACATATGGTGCATGCAAGGGGCCACAGGGCACGCACCAACATACATACATAACTAACGCCAACTGTAAGGTTACTTACCTCCTTGGCCTTGGCCGAAGTCACTCACAACGCTAACTCCGACACCTAACTATCTCCTATAAGATCACATGATACACTTAGAGCCATTTCACAACTAGTTCTTATGCTTAGCTACTAAGGTACGTCCCTATCGCAAACTATTTTATCAAAATGGAGTTATAATGACCTCAGATGGTTGAAACAAGGGTGGGAATGGTTCCAGAAGGGTCAAAAACCTAGGAATTGGTATATTATACGTATGTCGCGCCACCAAGCCGCAAGTGCAACGAAGCCGCCGACAACGTCGAAACTAATGGGCTACAAAGGACACTAACGGCGCAGGGTTCCTGGATGCGTCTCTGGGTTGGGCCGAAAGGGAACGAGGCCCAATGGTAGTGTCCGAGCTCGGCCCGTGAGGTGCGGCCTGTGTGCTGACCGAGACGAACTCGCGGAGTGTCGAAGGGTCAACCTGCGGCCGCCGCTTCGTCTTCCTCGCCCGAAAGCCTCAACAACCCTAATCAAAGAACTCGATTACTATCGCCGGTGGAATGGTCGTCGTCCATCCGTCTATCTCTGGTGGCGTGTCTATCCCTCCTTGTCCGACGTACCCTAGCACCGGTTTGCTCCTATCTAAGGACTCACAGAAGTCTGAAGTCTCGAGACGTTTCCGATTCCTCACCTAAACCTTTCGTCTCCTCCCTCATAGGTACGACAGTGGCTCAAAAAGAAAAGACGGCTACTAAGGTGGTTAGGGTTTAACATGGGGACTCAAGGAATTAATACGCCCTTGTTGGCAAGGCATGCCTCACCGAAAATCTCGCGATTTCTGGTGAGATTTAAGGCGTTGGTTTTTTTTTTTTTTGCCTTTTTGAAACCCATATCGTTACAATAAGCCTATAAATATTGGAATTGTTTAACTCTTTAAGCAATAGAGTGAGAAACAATAATAAAGCATTGCAGATTTGATCTATTTTATCTTTTCCTCTCTCTTCCAATATCCCTTTCCCCAACAAATTTTGTATTAGAGCCAAGTTCTTGACACGAGAGTTAGTGATTATATTTTTTTACAAAACGAAAATGACAGTAGTTGGCTTTTCTTCCTTTGCACCGCTATTACCAATTTTTAATGGTGAGAAATATGAGTGGTGGAGCATCAAGATGAAGATCTTGCTCAGATCGCAGGAGCTATGGGACTTGGTGGAGCACGGGTTCGTTGATGTATTAGAACCCACAATAGAAGAAAAGGAGAGACTAAGAGAAACCAAGAAAAATGATGTCAACGCTCTGTTCATTATTCAGCAAGCAATTCATGAGACTATTTTTTCTCGAATTGCAGCAGCAACCACATCAAAGCAAGTATGGTCAATTTTACAAAAGGAGTTTCAGGGAGATTCAAAGGTCACAATAGTGAAATTATAATCTTTAAGACGTGATTTTGAAACTCTGCTCATGACGAATGATGAATCAATTACAAATTTTTTGTCAAGAGCAATGGCAATAGTCAGTTAGATGCGTACCTATGGAGAGAAAATTTGAGACGAAACAATTGTTGCAAAGGTGTTGAGAAGCTTAACTTCAAAGTTTGACCATGTGGTGGCGGCCATAGAAGAAACTAAGGACCTATCAATACTCTTCATTGATGAACTAATGGGCTCGCTTCAAGCTCATGAGTCAAGAATCAATAGATCATAAAAAAGGAATGAAGAAAAGGCTTTACAAGTGAAGGAGACAACCAACAACAAAGGCAACGAAAGAGAAAATATTCATTTAGCAGGTAGAAATGAACAAAGTAATATAAGAAATGTCATACAATGTTATCCATTGCAGAAAGTACGGGTACATAAAAGCTGATTGTTGGTATAAAGATCAACAAATGAATTTTGCAGCAGAAAATGAAGAAGAAGAAAAGCTTTTTATGGCGTGTACTCGTTTTAATCCAAAGAAAGGTGACTTATGGTTTGTTGACAGCAGATGCTCTAACCATATGACAGGTACCAAGTCCTTATTCCAAGAGCTTGATAAGACGTAAAGAATTAAGGTGCAACTTGGAAAAACAAAAGAAATGCAAATTGAGGAAAAAGGCACAGTGAAAGTCGAAACTAGTCATGGTAAGATAAAACTAGATAATGATACAAAAGAGATTATAGTTAAAGCTTCTCCAAATGAAGAGACGAGGGTCAACTCCAGTGCATCTCCTAATGCCTCCACTACAACACAAAATTTGTCAAATTCATCATCTTCAGTATCACTAAATAGCAAATCTTCTATTGAATAATTCTCGGATGAGACACCTCCAAAGAAGTATAAATCTTTAGCTTACATATATGCCTCATGTCAATTTGCTCTTACTATTTCAGACCCTATAAGTTATGAAGAAGCAGCTGAAAAAGAAGAGTGGAAGAAAACCATGGTAAAAGAGATGTAGTCCATTGAGAAAGTCATGGTAGAAGAGATGCAGTCCAAGAAAAATGAAACATGGGATATGGTTGACTTGCCAAACAAAAAGTTCTATGGAGATTTACATGGGACATGCAGCCAGCCCATTGCGGTGGCCTGTTTATTAGTTTGATGAAAATTTACAAGAAAAGGTCTATATAACACAACTAGAGGGATTCATAAAGAAAGACAAAGATACAAAGATATACAAGCTAAGAGAGACATTATACGGATTAAAGCAGACATACTTACCAAGGTTTTGTCAAAAGAAAAGTTCTGCTACTTCAGACAATTACTTGACATGTGCAACTTTGAATCAAGGGAGAGAGTTGAAATATGATTCAAAGTATTCAAAATTGAGATATAATTTAAAGTTATGATTGAAAGTATTCAAAATACGAAGATTTTAGGAGATTGTTAGTAGATTTGAATTTATGTAGGATTTCCATAATTTATTATTTGTGGTTGGTGTATAAGCTTATAAATATTGAAATTGTTTAACTCTCTAAGCAATAGGATGAGAAACAATAATAAAGCAGTACAGATTTGATCTATTTTATCTTTTTCTTATCTTTTTCAATATCCCTCTCCCCAACATAATGTATCCTTCACATAAACGAATCAATTTTTGGTAATTCGAAAACCATACCTTTATCCTTTGAGTATTTTCAGGCCCTTGATATGAAGATACCATAATGTCGAGTATCTTTTGTGCTAGCAACAAGAGCACCTAAGAAAAAAAAAACTCAATTGCCGGAAAATCCGCGAGTTTTTCGGCGACCATCGAGTTTCGTAGATCCCACGCGAAACGACAACACACCCCGCTCAGCCTTCAGCCCAAGACTCCCAGAACACCTCAAAATACCTGCAAACAGAGAAAAGAAAGAAAATACAAAAATACGAGTGTGTGTGTGAGAGAGAGAGAGAGAGAGAGATTTCGAATAACGTCTGTGAATGTAACGACCCTAAATTTCCACATATCTAGAGTCGCCACTAATGTCTCATGCTCATCTCTAATGCAGAATAAAGACCTAAGCATGCTCATCTTTATTAGCGGAAAAATTTAAAACTTCAAAATACATTAAAACATTGGAAAACACTGCCGGACTTACGTGTTTCAAACATCGTGCTGGAGTTCAAAAAGATAAAATAAAACGATTACAAATTAATTAATATAAATGAATGAAATGCAAACGCCCTATCCTAACCAAGACTAGGAATTAAATATGCAACTATCCTATGCACGCGCCACAGTCTCTGATCACGATGCCACCGTCAACTGTACATGGGAGCCTTGCCTTTACCTAAAAAACAATATGGCACACTTTCGAAGAAATACTCAGTAAGTGACCCCACTATAGGGGTCATGCTAATGCAAACACATGCAATCATGAATAGGGACCTATCTCTAATCATCTTAGGGGTGGCCTCTAGTCTCGGACAAATTGGATGTGTAGTACTTCCCTACACAAGGCTCACACGTGCGAGTGTGAGTCCCAGGGCGCTCGCACACCCCCTAGACCCTCTGGTCAAGCTAATCTGTAGCGACGTCCGGAGGTCAGCGAAACCCCATAGTGTCATGCGCCTCATGAACACCCTCATCTGTGTGCTTTCGCACCTGTGCGCATTCGCACTCATCATAAGGTGCGCGTCCGCACTCATCATCTCTAGGGGAAGTAGCCCTATGCTTATGAACATACAAAATGCATGAGGTCCCTCTAAATCCATCGTAATGTCTCTTCTGACACAACCCTCTAGTCTCATCTCTTTGTTACTCTAGGTAACGCATACTCGTGGATATTTATATTAATATCATTTTCATGCTCTTAGGGTTGTGTCCTACGTCGATCTAACGACATGATGCAATATGGCACTCATCATCATCTAGCATGCTCAATATGGAACACATCATCATATTAAGGTAAAAATCATGCAATCATCATGCTCATCATAATGCCACAACGTGCGTCAAACATATCAAGCGTCACTCAACAAAATATGTATATACTAGCACATATCATCAAGCATCATATAATTTATTTAGCCTATCCTATAGTAAGGCCACTTACTTGGTTGGCCTTGGCCGAAGTACTCCCTAAATAGCTAAACGTAAGCTCCCGTTCCGTGAGAGCTGCTTCCTACATCGCCGGGGTTTGTTTCCTTAATTGGGGCCGAAAATAGATCCGGGAGGGTCGAAACAGTGGAAACCGGGCTGAAAATAGGTGAGCCAAGCCGAACAGCCGCTGGAGCCACCGGAGCGTCACCGGAGGGAGCTCGAGCCGTTTGCGCCGAGCCGAGCCGAGGGACTGCCGCGCCGCTGTGTGACACGTGGCAGCAGCAGAGAAAGCCACGTCGGGCAGTAGTGTCGGGTCGAAGCGCGGGTCGTAGTTCGGTTTGGGTCGTGGTTCGGGTCGCGGGCTGTGGAAGGCTACTGGGCCAAGGCTAAACGTTGGACCTCGGTTTACTGGACTGGGCCGCAAGTGTTTGGTTTGCAGGCAGGCTCAATTGGACCGTGGGTCTAGTCTGGGTTGGTTCAACTGAACCGTAGCTTCTGGGCCGGTTTGAGGTTTGGGCCGCTGTAGTTGGGCTGGGCCGAAGGCAGAGGCCAAGGGAGGAACGGGCTGGCTCTCCCGGGTTCTGGGTTCGGGTTGACCCGGATCCGTGGATCTCGTCTTCCTTGCCTAACTTTGGCCGATTTTCCGGCGAGCTTTCTCTCTCCTTCCCGCGACGTTTCCGTTGCCGATTTCGGTCCTCTTCCTTCCCTTTTCCTCTTTGTTCGTCGTCCTTCTTTCCTTTTTGGGAGTTTTGCGACCTAAAAGCTCCTAAAAGCCATAGATCTAAGAATCGATTAAGAAACCTAATTTTCCGACCTCGGTTATCGACGACGACGCTTACGAAATAACACAAAACGCACCCTGAGTTATTGTGCTTTCGTTAGGGATCTCTCTTATGGTAGTAATAGGTCGTTTGGTGTCGGTTTAAGGGTGGTTTGAGGGCTCTTCGGAGAAACTGGACACTCGCCGACGTTTGTCCAAAATCTCTCTCTCTCTCTCGAAATTTTCTCTCTTTTCTCCCTTTGCAAGTGTTCTGAAGATGCTGGGCTGAGGG